CAGCCTCTTGCCTGAAGTTTCCTTCTGGTGCTGGAGAGAATCTCTACYCCATCATGTGCTCATTTTTTGTCAGCCACTCTTTTCTGTTTCTCTGCTTATGACCCTGTATACTGGTCACTGACTTCCACTGTTCCTCCTGCTTCAGTGCTACTCTATTCAGTGTCCCTACCRTCTGGTTTTGTCTGTCTGCTCTTAGTTCTCTAATTCAGCACATAAATCCCTCACAACGCATCTGGCCGTTGGCAGTATTTGAATGGGCCACCCTTAAGGCACGTTGCCCTCCCACCTCTCCCTGGCAGAATAGCAGGTTCCTCTGCTCCATCGTGACCTACCCATGCCTGATCTGTTGTTTTCTTTTCCTTTCATCTGCTCCTCCATAAAGAAATGCCACGTGCAGAGAAGCTTCTCTTGGATGCTTGGGAATATGTTTCTTACAGCTTCTTAGAGCATCTACTGCAGTGCATGGGAGCCCCTTTGCTCGCTTTATCTATTGGCAACGGGACTTTCCGTGCTGTTACTTGATCCTCTGAGGGTTTTGGTCAGGGGGATCTCCCCAGGATTGTGGAGAATGAGTGGGAGACACAAGGTGCTGTCAAGCACCCCAAAGTTTCCTTGAAAAGAGAGGTCCTGGGGGAAGGGTGATGGTTATGTACCACCTTCACTTGCTGAGGAGGTGGTATAGCGGCCATATGAGTATGAGGGATGGGGTATGAAGGCAGACACAAAATTTGGTGACATGAGCCTCAGAGGTGCATGGATTCCAGGCCCTTTGGTGGGAGGAGCTGTGTATCTGCTCAGGTGCCTAGGCTCAGGAATGTTCTTTTCCTTGCAGGTACATGGTGGATGCTGCTGACCAGGAGAAGATAGAGGCCTCAAAGAATGAACTTCACAACCTGCTCGACAAGCCACAGCTCCAGGGCATCCCAGTGAGCAATTGTCCATATAGATATCTGCCTAGTCACTTGCAGTTCTGGAGGTCACCAGGATTTGGAGYAAAAATGTTACTGGGAGAAAGCAGGTTCTTGATATCAGTTTCCTCTCCCTGCTACATACCTTCATACTTGCAGAAAAACATGGCCAAGTAGTGCTTTCCAGTTTGGGACAGGGGKGACAGTGGACAGGGCTGGGGAAGCCTCCCCATGGTGCTGTCTGCTCAGCCATCGCAAGCAGGCCTGAGTTTAAGCAACATGTTCACAACTGAGCGAGCAGGCTTAGAAGAGACCAAAAAAAAACCCACCAGGTGTGAGCTCTGTCCTCTCACATGAATTTGCACCTTATTTATGGCAAGACCTTAAGGTCTGCTGTCCTAGGAGAGCAGCGTCTCCTCCGTGACACTTGAATAAGGTGAACTGTAAATAGCGTGACCAACTGCAAGCACTGGTCACACTGTGAATGCAGAGGAGAGCAAGTACAGAGCATCCATAAGTGACATCCATTGAAAGGAGCTAATTTAGGACCTCGGAACACATCCCAAATGTTCACCAACGAAATCAAGCACCTGACATTATGGACTGCATTTGCAGCACTCCTGAGTGTTCTTTGTGGAGAACCTGAGCTTTACRAGTCTACGGAAAATTTAAATGGGAGAATAGCGTGTTACGGTCATGTTGGAGAGGCCCTAATTCACCGTGGGACAGCAGCCACAGCCTCAGTGCTATTCTTATCAAATGACAGYTGTATGGTGTGCTCAGGGGGAACGAGAAAGTACTGCCTAGTATTTCCTTTGCATGGGCTGGAGGAGGTCTTCATGGTTGTGTAAAGCCTTGAAGTGAAGAGTTTTCAGTGCACAGTGCAAATGGTTGGATTTTTTTAGACTAGTTACCTGCGAAGAGCAGCTTTGCCTTGTGCTAGTCTCTCTACCATCCTTCCTTATTATGTAGATTTTACCCCGTCAGTCAGATTCCACTTGGTTTTTTGCTCCAAGATCATCAATGGCTCTTGGGAGAATGTCCTAGATGCCGTGAGAAAAGAATAGTGCCCTTAAGGGAGTTTGTATTGTGAGGCTAGTTTCTGTTCAGGGCTAGAGAATATATATAAGAGAAGATGCTGGGTACGAGCTAATTAAGGCTGCTAAATCAAGTGCTCTTTGACTGACTGTCAGAGAAGTTTTTTTCCGCCTTTGGCATGGCCCAGTGAACAGAACAGGGCTGCGATGCGTCTTAAGCAGAGACTGGTTCTGGGTAGCATAAAGCAGGTTTCTGTCTGGTCTTATGGACAGGGGTTTTAGGTGTTTCCCCTTCCTCCTTCACAGGTCCTAGTCCTTGGGAACAAGCGAGACCTCCCTGGTGCCTTGGATGAGAAGGAGCTCATTGAGAARATGTAAGTACTCTTGTGGGCTGGGTCATGCTCGAGCTCCTGCGTGCCTGACTATCTGCTTTCTTTGAGATGGATGCTGCGAAGCAATGTGTTGACTTGCTGGAAAGCAACTCCATGGAAAGCGGGGTTGACCTGTTGGAAAGCAACTGCATGGAGAGAGATTTGGGAGTTCTCGTTGACAACAAGTTAACCATGAGCCAGCAGTTTGCCCTTGTGGCCAAGGAATGCCAATGGGATCCTGGTCTGTGTTAGGAGGAGGGTTGCCAGCCGGTTGAGGGAGACAATCCTCCCCCTCTACTCAGCTCTGGTGAGGCCACACCTGCAATACTGTGTGCAGTTATGGGCTWCCCAGTACAGGAGGCACATGAAGGTTCTTGAGAGGGTCTAGCATAGAGGAATGAGGATGATGAAGGTCTTCGAACATCTGTCTTATGAGGAAAGACTAAGTGAGCTAGACCTATTCAACCTGGAGAAGATGGAGAGGGGATCTTATCAATATTTACAAATACCCACGGGGAGGATGTGAAGAGGATGTCAAACCCTTCGTGATGGTGACCAGTGACAGAACAAGGGGTAATGAGTACAAATTGAAACACAGGAAGTTTCAGTCTTTACTGTGAGGGTGACAGAGCCCTGGAACAGGTTGCCCAGAGAGGTTCTTGGGTCTCTTTCTTTGGAGATCTTCAAAACCCGCCTGGATGCGGGAATTGTGCTACATGCTCTAGATGCCCCTGCTTGAGCAGGGCGTTGGATTAGATGGTCTCTAGAGGTCCCTTCCAACTTCAGCCATTCTGTGATTTAGTGYCCTCCCCGTGTCCCTTCCTGCCATTTCCCTGCTCTGCACTGCTCCGCTGGCTGCAGAGGTGCAGGACGCTTGGCTTTGAGCCGCGAGGTCGCACTGTGGGACCCTAGGTGGCGCGCGGACAGTGTCCGCAGGGCCACCGCGGTGGCCGCCAGCCGAGCTCTGCACATGCGCACGTCTCACCCGGGGGAGCTCGGCCTGGAAGCGGAAGATGCTTTGCAAGCCCTGCCTCTTTGGCGCAGAGTGGTGCGGATCTGCGTGGAGCGGCGCCGGGCACGCGGGCCCGGCTCCTCGTGCCGCACGGTGGCGCCGGGGCCCGGCAGCGCTTCCCTGCTCTCCTCTCCAGACGCGGAGTGCCTGCACCGGCGCTGCCGCCTGCCCAGCGGCCGCCTGAGAGGCCTTGGCGGAGCGGCTTAGCTCCGKGCATCACTGCAACCCCCCAGCCGCCTGCTGGGGTCGGGCTGCAGCGTCCCAGAGCCTCTGAGCAAAGCTCCGCCGTATTGTGTGTGCACCCCACGCTGCAAATCCTGCCCCACACCCTGGCCCCGGTTTCGCTTGCTCCCTCCCAGGARTTCCACGTAACCATGAGTTCTGGGGAGCTCTGAAGGAAGGCGCATAGTTTGTTAGCCTGGTTCTCATTAGGATCTGGACGTCTGCCCCTTATTTTAGCAGCTGGCAGACAGTTCAGAACGAACCTGCTTAACCCATGTGATGGTCGGAAGCCCATCCTGAGCATGCTGTGGCTGTCACTGACACCAAGAACTGGTGTCCTTGTCTGACCCTCCTGGAGGTCACAAGCAGTAGCAGCTCCCCATGCTGCTTGGAAAGACTCTTATCTCAGACCCTGGGTTCAAAGGGCCCCTGTGAGTGGTTGCTAAGAGAACATCCAGTTGCTGCCCTGTGCTAAGATGCTTGCAGTCTCTGAGGTTTGCACTGGGCACTCAGAGCTTGCTGTCTTTCCCACAGGAACCTATCTGCCATCCAGGACCGAGAGATTTGTTGCTATTCTATCTCCTGCAAAGAAAAGGACAATATTGGTGAGTACTGGCATCTCTGTACCAGTGATGGCAGGAAAACTGCATCCTGGGGTGATGAGGGAGCCTTGCACTAGCCTATGCCAGGCTGCTTTTCCTCAAGTGCAAGAAGGGCTCCRAGCCAGACGGTCGGGAGGTAACCATCCCTTGCCTTTGCAGATATCACCCTACAGTGGCTTATTCAGCACTCGAAGTCTAGAAGAAGCTGAGATCCTGTGGACCACAGCTCTTATTGGGAAGATGCCATTGTACAAGCCCATGCCCCCTTCTTTCTCCTGCTCTGTCCCTTCAGCTCTCTCCCTAGATGGGTATTTTTAGGGGACCCCAGACTCCGCTTGTGTTGAGGTGGAGCCCTTGTTTTTATTGTAAAGAAAATATCCAACTCTGCTCTTCTCTCCTCTCCTCTCCTGTCTTCTCTCTGTCTCCCTCCCATTTTGGCACTGTTCTGTTGTTGTCTGTGTATACAGTATATATATATATGTATATATATTTTAATTTTTTAATTTAAGCGATAGCGCTGTTACTAAACTGGACTGTACGAGCTTAAGGAAGGCTGTGGGCCCCCCAAGGGCAATCGAGGGTCAGTGCTGGGAGGAAGATGAACAAGGCAGCAGAACTCAGCCCAGGGKCTGTTGCAGGCTGCACACAGGCCCCCCATGCTCCCACACCTCTTCCCTGTGACCTTGCCTGGATCTTTAGGGCTTGGGCCTCCCTGGGGGCGTTAGGAGTGCTCCTGCTCTGCCACCTGCCCAGTCTTCGTGGAGGAACAACCCTTCCCTGTGTTTTGGCCTCCTTTGGGCAGGGCTTACCCTGGAATGCAATGGGCACAGCTGTCTGGGGAGGTGATGCCCTTCCTCTTCACAGGCTCTTATCACTGCCCTTGGGAATGGACATCTCTCATGACCTGGTAAGATCAACCTCCATAGAGCATCTCCAGCTACATTACTGCTGCCCCAGACCCTCCTCTYGCTTTTGTGGGCAATTTTGTCTCCTATCCCTGTGTTTCCTCCTGACCAGGGATGAGGCAGAGTCCAGGGCCCGCGGACCGCCTTGCACTGCGGCAATGTGCAGCACAGGGAGCACAACTGGGGGCTGAGCCTGCCTGGATGCTGCGCTCAGGCAGGATGTGGCCCTGGCAAACCTCCGATAGCCGTAGTGGCCACCAGTGGAGAGCATGGGGCTGGCCCCTGCCCCCTCCCTGCCCCACAGGCACATCTTCCTCTCAGCTTTGCATTGCCCAACTTCTTTGGATGGCCAAGATTGCTTTCTGCGAGCCCAAAGGCATCACCTTACCCCTGGCTTGGAGCTGCTGGTTTTTGATTTGGTTGAACACATTGCACAGGAACATTGAGAGGTGGAGAAGGAGGCAATTTTCCCCTTGTGGATGCAGGACCATGAGAGCTTTTTGGTCCTGGCAGTGGTCCCCACTGGGAGGGAAGATGTTGCTTCAGGCTGTGCCCTGCTCCCTGTTGCCCTGTGCTGCCATCCTGGAGCTGCCTGCTATGCTTGCCCAGGATATCCTGGCTCTGAAGGGAGCTACAGGGCCCTCAGGGCACTGATTGAGGGGACAGCAGCGCTGGTGGGTGTCAGTGTTCATTGTTCTGCACATGCAGAAGGAGTGAAAGGAAACCCAGGCTCTGRGATGGGTCAGCAAGGTTTTGCCTGTGCTGAGTTGCTGGGTCTCTGCCCAGCACAGCCTTGGACCTTGCCAGGTTGCTTATGGGCCAGTTTGCAGGTGAAGGGACACACAGACTGGCTTTCTGGTGGCACAGGGGAAGACACACTGATGCCAGAGGCGCTTAAGTGGGGTCAGAGCTGTGGCACACTGGAGCGTCTCCTGCTTCTCTCCAGCTCGGGGTTGCAGGGAGAGGACGGAGGTAACCCGGGGACCATTGCTTTCCTTCCCTGCCTGTATTTTGCTGCAAGACAGCTTGCAGCCCGTATGGGAGGCTGCAGGGTCCCTCTTGGAGCCCTTTTCCCGTACGCGGACTGGCTCCTGGGGGCAGCAAGACAGTGGTGTTCTCTTCTGTTCTCATTTTTGCAGAATTGCACAAAGAGAGGTTTCCTTTTTCTTTCTTTTCTTTTTTTTTTTTAATTTAATAAACTGTAAAGTGTTGTCATCCCCCCTTGTTTTCTTTTTTTCTTTTCTTTTTTTAAGAGACTTTGGCTCAGATTTGACCTCTGTTGGGAACTGATTATTGTAACTGTACTTTTTTTTTTTTTGACTCCTAATAATAATAAATTAACAATTTTGCGTTGGTGGGTGTGCTTGCAGTCATGTTGCTTTCTCCTTCTCCCTTCTCCATCCACCCCCTTCTGTGGGGCCACGTGCATACCCTGGAGTGCAGGGCGCAGGCTTCACCAGTTCCCCTTGGCATTCCGCTAGGCTGGAAAATGCCAGTGCTCACCTTGCAAGACTTGGCAGCTCTGGGTGCCTCTGTGACCACCCTCACCAAAGCGGTGCTGGCCCAAATTCGATGGCTCCAGATGCCTTATTCTCTTGGCCTACATATGACGATGGGCTTGGAGACCTCCAGCCACAGTTCTCCTCATGGCCACAYGTTCCTCTCCCACCATTTGCTGTAGCCTGAGATGGCTCCAGGATTCAGCACTTTGATGCAGGGGTTAAGCCAGGGCTACGAATCTGCTTCAGGGCCTCTTGCTCTGGGCAGTGGCCCTTGTTGGTGGGGGGCATGTTGAAGTCGTGTTTGCAGCACCCTCTCAGGGTACTTGAGCTCCCAGTGGAGCAGTCCGCCCAATGCATACCGAGGAGGCTGCCCTCCTCCCACCTGGCCGTTGCATCCCTATTCCCTGTTCTCCCTTGTGGTGCTGGCCCTCCTGCACCCCTGAAGGGGCCAGGGGTAGCTGATACTGCTGGGAAGCCTGTTGGCACATCCTGCCCCAGCTGGTACTCACCTCGTTGGGAGCCCATGGCTCTGGTACCAGAGCTCCTGTTGGCCGCAGCTCCTCTGCGTGCCCTGGGCTCTGCGCTCTGGCTTGACGCGTTGTCCACGACCTCAAYGGTGCCGCCTGCGGCTTCCCTGCCCCCAGCCGCCGCGTTTCTCCCCAGCTCTTCCTCCTCCCCACGGCGCCCGCGGCCCAGCAGGGCCGGAGCAACAAACCCGGCTTTGTTCGCCCTTGCTCCGGGCTCAGGACAAACCGGCACGGCGCAAAGCGCATGAAAGCGGCCCCTTCTCCCGCCCGCTGCGCCAGCCCGCGTGCGTGCGAGGGGAGGCTCGCCGCCCCCGGCGCCCGTTCCTTCTGCCAGGAACGCAGCTCCCGCCTTGCCCGCTGGGCCCGGACGGGGATGCGGAGGGCATGGTGGGCAGCGTGGGCACGACACCTCCTTCATGCCCATGCACCAGGGCATGGATGTTGCCCGTCCTCCTTCCCCGTGGGCCCCTGGCCCGAAGCCTCCCCCAAGGCTGCTGGGGGCCRCAGCGGGGTTTGGGAACATGCTGAGGACAGGGGAGGCGGGAGGGAGAAAATAAATAAATAAATCCAGCGTTGTGTTCTGTGAAGGAAACTGGGGCTTTTGTTTCCCTGGCAACTGGGCCGAGAAAGCGAGGCCCGGTGGGTGTCGCGGTGGCACAAAGCCCTCAGTGAGCCCCTCGCATTCAGCGCCCGTAGCAACCGGCTCCCTCTGCCTGGCATGTGGCAGCCCCGGGGGTGGCCGCCAAGGCGAGAGAACAAGGAGCTTTAATAAGCGGCCCTGAAGAGGCCGCGAGGCGCAAGGGAGGCCTGGACGCGGCCAGCCCTGTGCCCAGCCTGCCCTGGGCCGCCCCTGGCCTGCTCCGGCTGCCCCGCAATGTCCCCGTGCCTCCTGTYGGGCTTCGGGGCGGCTTCGGCGCGGCCACCTCGCGGTGCCCGTGTCTTCAGGGAGCAGTGCGGTCACATATCCAAAACACAGAGCCCCCCGCCCGCCCTGCCCTCCCGAGGGACTCTGCGGTGCCGGATGGCAGCACGTGCAATGTGCTCTAGGTTACTGCTTTATTGAGCTCTTACAGGGCACTGCTTGGAAGTGGGAGGACACAGTCACTGGGGCCTTCTGCTGCAGAGAGGGTGGAACAGGACCAGGGTGAGCTGTATTTGCCATGTCCTCTGCCAGTCACCACAGAAACACTCCTTGCTTTTGGATAGGACCTTTCCTGTCTCCCTTGCTCTGGGAAGCCTGGAAAGGAGGATGCTGGTGTCCTGGATGGTCTTTCGGCAGAGGCATGAAGGTTGCCTACGTAGCCACGTGGACTGGAAACCCCTTTGCCAGGGGTGGGATTTGAATCCTGTAGCGCAGCCCCTGAGCTGTCTGCTCTGCATGCTCCACGTCCAGGTACAGGCACTAACTGCAAAAACAAAACTTTTGGTCTTGGGAGAAGGTGGTAAAATGATCTCTACGTATCCCTGGCAGTGCTTAGCAAGGTGTGCCAAGGGCCAGGATTGGTGGGGGTGACTCCCGGGGCTTGTCGAAGAAGATGGAGGAGGACATCTCTGTTTTGAGCTTGCTGTCAGCGCTGCTCTCACTGGAGCTGGTGTCCGGGCTGCATCCCTCACAGCAGCAGCAGCAACAGTCCATGAAAGCCTGGCCCAGGGGTCTGCAGAGGCACAGGAGCAGGACTGGTGTCACAGAGCACTTGAAGAAYAGGAAGAACTGGTTGATGAGACTGAGCAAGTCCAAGGTCTGCCTGGACATGTCAGGGGACATATAGGCCACCACGATGTTGCAGACATTCTCAGGGGTGGTGCAGAGACCATAGATGATGGTCAACCCAATGATGGTGCAGTTCAAGTGACTCTCACACTGGCTGTGTTTGGCTCCCCGGCACTCAGTCTTCTTCTCAGTGCCACTGATCCTCCGGGTGACCAGCTGGCAGCTGACAGTGAAGAGGATGGGCAAACAGAAATAGCAACCAAAGTACCACCACATCCGAGCATTTTGGTAGGTGAGCACCAGGGAGTAGACAGACTCTGGCAGGTGGGATGAAGGCTTCATGGTGCAATACTCCGTCACCACACCAGACACAGGTGATGTGTCCTGTGCCAGCTGCCACAGCAGGATCTCTGGCACGGAGAGTGTCATRGAGCCCACCCAAATGACGGCCAGCTTGGCAATAATGGAATGGCACTGCTCGATGGGCCGGGCGCTGGCCTGGGGGCTCGTGGCTGCATGGAACCTGTCGATGCCTAGTGCGCAGAGGCTGAACGTAGTGACCCCCAGTGATGACACCTAGCAAGGGAGGAGGGAAAACAAGGTCACCTCACTGCTGGGACACTGAGATGGACTCAGCTTTACCAGGTTGGTGGCAGCTGCTGGGTGCCAAAAGTACAACCCAAGAGACTTTCTCCAACATTTTACAAAAGTCATCCCAGCTTGCAGCCCTTCCCTGTGCCTCTTAAAAAGGAAGTGGATAAACATGTCCCTTAAACAATTTATCCCTGTTGGCCAGGACGGGAATGATAGAATTTTCCCTCAGGCTCTTTCTATTGTACATGTCTCTGAGAGAGGAAAAACGGGGACCCATCATTCCCATCAGTGCCTTCCCAGGGCCCCCATTGTCCCCAGGTAACTCCTCTCTGCCCTGCTCTGCAGAGCTGCTGCCTGCTTCCCAGACAGGCCAAATAAGTTGAAGCTGCCATTGTCACAAATCAGCTCTGGGCAATTTCCGCTGCATTGAGATTAGCAGGAAAAAACATCCCCATTTGCCAAAGGGAAGAGGCCAAAGGAGGTCGAGGGATTGCTACGGCTCTGGGAGCGCTGGCAAGACACCGAGGATCAAAATCAGCATTAATAGTCCAAGCTCCAGAGCTACATCATTTTTCTGAGCCAAGTCCCACAACCCTCAGGCTGGGATACAGCAGGGTTACACACTGGTGCTTCGGAGTGTCTTGCCTTCCATGCCAAAGGCTGTTCTTGATCTCACAAAGCCTCATAACCTCACCCAATGCCAAGGAACATTCCCAGTGCTCAGAAAACCTTCCAGGGCATCACATGATGCCCGTGTTGTGGACAACCATCTAACAAAGGATTTTGAAAGAAACAGGCCTGGTGCCCCACTATGAACCTTCTTCAGTGGTCCTGGACTGGCATCTTTGCAAGTAGCATTGCAGAGCACATTGCTTGGTGCCCAACATCACCATCCAGTTGCACTCAACATCATTAACTACTACATTAGTTACTAGGTACAGTCCTAGTAATTTACACTCCAAATTACCTCTTGGCTGGTACTTTGGTGGGTGTTTAGCTCTGATTTGGCAATGCCCTCTCACCCAGGTTGAGGGGTCCCTGGGTGCTGAGAGACAGGCAGATGAGCAGAAAATCCTTGCAACTGCTTTCTCACCTTGCTTTGCTGCCCAGACCAGCCTTGGTGGGGCAGAAGGGCAAGGCTGGATTGAAAAATGGACGCGGCCTCATCTGGGCACCATGATGGGAACATGCTTCACTGGTGCTTTGTCACATCCAGCCTTCATCATGGGGGCAGATATTGGAGAAGGGCAGGGTTGCTATGACATGATGCCTCCAGCAGCTCAAGGAGTTGGGGGAGGGATGGGGAYGGGACCGGGCCTCCAGCACACTGACCTGTGCTGATCTAAGCCTGGGCTGATACGAGCTCCAGGGTGTGATTCCATGCTTCACTGTAAAGGTTGTGGCCAGTGGTGAGGTAGTGAGGATACACAGTCTTCACACTAGCTACCCCACGTTCCTCCCTAGTCATCCCAACAACCGGTGCAGCTATCAGCTCCAAGATCCCATTGTCTGCCCTTGACTCCTCCAGGGACAGAGCTATCCCAAGGGACTGGCAGGCACTCTGGTGCTGCTTAATCACTGCAGATGGAGGTACCACCCCTCCTCTGCCCAGGGATCTCAGCATGGATATGGCCACTGAATCCACGTGTGGCTATGTGTAGTCATAAACATCAAGAAGGAGGTTGTTTTGGGGTCATTCTCTTTTGCATCCATCCCCCCTCCCTTCCATCTTCACCGAGGGCACTAATCCCATGGCAA